AATCTTCGTAAAAATGAGCAACGTGATCCCCTACTTTTGTAGTTCAATTTCTAGGCATAAGAAAATATAATTGTGGCCCTAGTGTTTGACTTGAATTCGTCCCAAGAGAATGAAAATTCATAATTATGAGAATTTTAGGGTGTAAGACTTTGGGCAAATGTGAAGAATGTTTGTTCTCAATTTACTACCGCAATTTATTAACGTAATCATGGTAATTTAGGTGAATTATTGGTGGGAAAGCCCTGGATCAGGTGAAAAAATTATGAGGTTGGTCTAGGGTTTGAGTTGTGGGTATAATATGAGAATATATAGGCCTTTTTGTGATGTTTTGTACTTGTATTATTATTTTTAGATCGAGAACAAGCTAAAGCTTCACAAATGATCAAAGGTTCGTGATCAAATTTTTGTAGCAACTACTTGCTATATTTTCTTAACTCTATATTTAGACTTGTTTTCAATTACATGATATTTTATAGATTGATGAGAGGTTTCAAGTCTAGTTCTTTCAGGTACAGAGTCTGGAGGGTTAAAAATTGTTTCTTATTGTTGTTAAGGTGGAAAAAGACAATGACTAAGGGGTGATTCTCTAATTTTTTATTGTTATCCTTGAGTTTTCTTGATTGCGATTTGCGGTTAAGACGAGAAAAGATATTCTATTGACTTTTGTAGCAACATCTTTTTCAAAGCTTACTTTTTACTAGAACGAACATATTTGATTCTAATTGATTGGGTTTTTTTTTCACTTTGATAGGGATTTGACATTAAAGATTATCTCAATTCGTATCTAGTGACTGCCATATTACTAATTACTTAGAAGCTCCTGCTCATGTTGAAATGTTGAAGTGGGAGAGCAGAGGTTATTTCGGTAAATCAATCATGAATTAACACTTCAGTTCTTTTAGCTTTGTTTTTAACTTGGTGACACAATTTTAATAATTTAGTATTCAGATTTAGAGACAATATCTTAATCATTCAAATGTGCATTTACATTTAAATTTCTTAATCTTAATGAAAACAAATTAGACCTTAAACTTGTACAAAATTGAACAATTAGACACATTCATCTTACATGACATTAGGTATACCACGCCATGTATCATCCACTCGGCTCAAGCCGAGGAGAGATAAAGAAAAATCAAAGATATGGTGATCGTGCCGTAAGACCTTGTTCCTTTCTACTTGACGTTCTTATTTTCCTTTGTTTTTACCCCACGGAGTGGTAATGCAGATTCAAAGCAAAAGGACATAAATGTCAAGTAAAGCTAAATTAAATGACATATTTATGTATATGCCTATTTTTGATACTGATACACTATACTTATTTATTTATAAAATCATTTCAGTATGTACCTGCTACTAGTAGTAGTAGCAAAGAAAAGAGCTAGGAAGGTATACCAAAAAATAAACCGATTCCATTTTCATTGCAGAATCCTATGCTTTATGTATTTCAAATAAACGATAGGTCATAACAAGTAATTAGGGGCGGAGCTAGCTAGAGTAGACGTCTACGAATTCAGTCGAACTCAACAGCTTTATTAGTTTCAAATTTTAAGAAAATATGGGCCAGGCTATTGCTCTCGTTGCATTATAGTTAAGCCACCTTTGATGGTGTGTATGCAATCTTACCCTATTTTGTGAATGTATTTTTAATCCTTCGGCTAAAATAATAAAGTATATCAAAATCAAGTATGGAAAAAAACACAATAATAATCAAAAAGTCATGTTAAAATAAAGGAGAAGAGAATAATAACAAACAATATGATAATACCGCATCGAATATATAAAAAGACATATATATATATATATATATATATATATATATATATATATATATAACACTATAGAGCCTGAAATTTCATGATGGGTGTCCAAAAAAATTGCACATCACTTCGTGTAATATTTTACTTGTATATATGAATATGATATTTTTTTCCGACGAATGGTGTCCAAATGAGCACCATGACAACCACGTAGCCCTGCCCCTAATAACACATACAGACAACAAAAAAAGAAATAAATCATATATATTACCCTATATAGTTAAATATTTGCAAATTAGGACTTAGGTTAGGTACACCTTTTCCTCATATTTTTCAACAGTAGGTGAAATTTTTAAATGACACCTAAAGACTGGTCGATAACATGCATGATTCAAGATAATCATTTTCTATTCTTGTTATTACTGGAAGTATACATCCTACTTTTCGATGGAATGTAAAAGAAATAAATGCTCAATCTGCAATATTTGATAACAATATTAAAGAAGTGAATCTAACGATACCATATATATCATAGCAATGGTATTCGATTTTAGATCTAATTAACATTCTGCCTAGTAACCATTCGGAATGGGAGATCGATTCCCATTTGGAACAACCTTAATAATAATCGAGTACACTACTAATAGCCATGAAATAATTAACAAATTTTCACTTTGTTCGTACTGAATACAATTAATTTCCCATCGCTTGCCCAACATTCTAATAGAGAAATTGATGTGCCTAAACAAAACTTAATCTCATATATATTCTCCGTCCAAAAATAAATATCATTTTAGTTAAATTAATTTAATTCAAACTAAATATCGTTTCAGAAAATCAAGAAGACATTATGTTTTTGTTCAAGTCTACGATCCTAAATATAAAATATATACAAAGGGTAATTTGAGAAGATATATATAAAGTACCTTAGTCAAATGAACCTCATAATTAATGCATTCATGTAGTTTCTTATTAATTAGGTCAAAATCTAAATGACACTTATTTGGGATAGGAGGGGACGCTTTATAAACAAGGTAAAAAAAAATTAAATTAATATGGATTGTGGTGGAATGATTGTGATCTCTTCACTCTTAATCAGAGATATTAAGTTGGAGACTTTGAGAACGATTCTTTTAATTGAGAGTGTCGTCCAAAAAAATAAATCCCACAATATGTGAATTCAAATTTAATTGTATCTCAATATGAATATCGAATATCAAATGAAAAACAAAAACAAAAACAATTTTATTTGATAGATCCGTTTAACTTAAAACTCTTCATTTTCCTTAATGACAAGTTGTTATAATGATACAAAATGTTATAGTTTTACGATCAAAAGTTTTAAGACCATAATTTAATAGTTCTTATTTTTTCTTAAATTTCATACATAATCAAATTTTACCACATAAATTGAAACGAGAGAAGTATATTTGTGTTTCAAATTATTGAACGGTCTCTTAGGAAAAAAATTATACAATGAGAGGTTGTACTAGTAATTGTAACTCATGGTGAGCAAATTAATGCACTGATAAAGTTACAAAGTACGTTACTAAAATATTTAAATCGTAATAATGACTCATAAACACAATTGAAAGATACATTATAGTTATTAATAATATAATGAATGAATATCTTATCGTTTTGAGAATATTTTCGAGCAACATTCTTATTTTGGCTTACTTGATGCATCAATTTTCTAAGGCCTAATCAGGAGAAATAGAGGTAGGTCGAAAAAGTATTAAGAAAAAATGATTCGATAAGATATATACGTCTTCCTATCGTAACATACCGAAGAGACATGAATCTAGATAGAAGATTATAGATGTCGATAATTAGGATAAGATATACACGTACTCCTGTTGTTTTTATACTTTAATTTCTAACTATCTTACTCTTCAATTTTAGTATTACTTATCGTGTTCTTTGTTTTGGTTATCATATTATTTGCTATTGTTATTACTCTTTTCCTCATTATTTTCATACCTAAGTTGTTATGTTTTACTTAATCGGCTCAAGTAGAAACAACTTCTCTACCTTGTAACGTTACATACATTCTACCCTCCCACATTCCAATTATGAAATTATAATGAGAATGTAATCCATTAACATGTGTGTTCAAAACTTAGTTATGATTTTAGATATGTCACGTAAAATATTAAAATTAAATTATTATTTAATATAATTTTTCCTTTTTTTTTTTTTAAAAAAAGGAGGTATAATAGCTATTGGTCCCCTAGCTAAATCACGTGCCTGCGTTGCATCAAAGTGCGTAGTAAATCAGAAAACCAAACAAAAGCTACCCATCAACCCTCTCTCTATCTACAAAATTAAAATTTGTACAATATTTTAGTTTGTTTCGAAAGAATGTCTTTTTGTGAATTTTTAAATTTTAGCTTTTTTACGTGATATGTTTAAGATAACAAGACTAAAATATATTTTAGTATGTTTGATATATCTTTAATTTAAGATCACATGATTCAAAAAAGTAAATTCATTACACTTCCTGTCAAATTAAACTGGACAAACAAATTGAACGGAAGTAATAAAAAGAAAAATGAAAGAAAAGAAGAAATTACCACTCTCTTCACTTTTACTTGTCACAATTCTCTTTACAAGAGTCAATTTAATTAATTTTTTAAGCTAAATTAAATTAATTTAATATTTAAAAGTTATATAGAGGTTTGAAAACTATATATACATACAAAATACTATAATTAAGTTGTATTCTTTTTAAATATTAATATAATAAGAAAATACATTTACCAAAATTTATAAAGTTTGATGTGACAAATAAAAATGAGTTAAAAGAAATTACTATTATTACAAAGTCATATTCATGACCAAACACAACAAATAATATTATGATTTTCACCCAAAAACTACTTAAAAAAGAAGAATTTTATGAGAGTTTGTATGCATTGGATCCTTCACCCAAAACTTTAACCATATATAAACCTTAATATAAAACGTAAATAATTATTTTCCTTCTTTATTCCCCCTTCTTTTTCTTTCCCTTTCCTCTTCAAACTTGTGAAACTATACATAAATTACCATCAATTATAACTAAAAGAGCTAGCTAGCTAGGTCCAAAAATATTTGGTAACTTTTTTTTGATAAAAAACTCTTCTTCTTCTCCTAATTCTAATGTAACTACTACACCTATTCCTATTCCTATTCTCCTCTTTATAATACATCAACAAAAAAAAAACCCTATATTTAACCCCCAAGACCCTTTCTTGTTCAAGATTTCATCTTTTTGAGTATATCATGGATATGTCAAATTTTGATGAGAGCAATTCTAGTGAAAACCAACAACTACCCACTTTTAAAGATCCAAAAGGGTGTCTAGATATTACAACAAATCATCAAAAAGATGATGATACCAAGAAAATTGTAATATTGCATCAAGATCCAAAAGGGTGTCAAGATATTATAATGGATGAACAAAAAGATGATGATGATGCCAACAAAATAGAAATATTGCACCAAAATAATCCAAAAGGGTCTCAAGATATTACAAAAGGCATCAAGAAAATAATGGTATTGCAAGAAGATCCAAAAGGGTGTCAAGGTATTACAATGGACACCAACAACATAGTAATATTGCATCAAGTTCCTAATCAAGATCATCGTCAAGAAGATGGTGTTGTCAACGAGACAATAGTACTACAACCCGTTGAAGATGGTGATGTTGTTAATGAGACAATAGTTATACAACACGTTGAAGACAAATTGGTACAAGAAGATAGTGTTGTTATACAACACGTTGAAGATGATGTTGACAACAATATAATAGTAGCACTATTAGAAGATGACAATGATGGATTTAGGACTCCAACTTCTTTGGAATCGAAAATTCCAATTTTGACAACATGTCCTGGTGCACCAAGAGGCAACTATAGTGGTATTAAACGAAAAGCTTCATCACCACCAAGAAGAGGGGAAAGAAATATAAGAATATGGAACGATTATCGCCACCGCGATACCGCTAGATTTTGATCGGAAAATCAAGAAATTGATTACCAACACCATACCAAGAAGTGAAAATTATAATTACAAAATAGAATTTTGCACAAAATTTATCTTTAGTTAAGCTATTTCATTTTAATTAATATGTCCTAAACATATTTTTCCATCTGTTCCATTTTATATGATTCAAATTATTATTTTGAGAGTGTCTTTTTCTATGACAGAATTATATGACTTTTAAATATTTTAAATTGTTAATGTGATTGAAAATTAGATAATTCGAGCATCATAACGTGAATATTAATAGAGTTTGATTCTATTTTGGTTTTTCAATTTGTATGTTTTCATGTTTTTTCTTGTGATTTTAACTTTTTTTGCTTAAGATTAAAGTTAGTAAAAGAGATTGGGGGGGGGGGGGGGGGGGGAGGGAGTGAAGTACAGACCAAGAAACTACAAAGAGGTAGGCATAAACATACAACTTTATTATATTGTCACCTATCTTCTTTTGTGATCAAGGTGTTATGTAGTTTATAAAAAGTAAAGATTCCCAAAATATAACGACTCTTTCTCCTTTACACTTTTTATTTTTTCTCAAAAAGGTTTTCCTATAGAAGTTAGTAGAGGTGTCAAAAAATAAATAAATTAAAATCAGTTAAATCGATCAAATTGAATTAATTAAGAAATAGCTATTACTATATATCAAAAGTTCTTTACTACCGGTCATTTCTTAATCTTAAAAGGAAGGGAATTGGAACTTACACTGACTAATAAGTAATCTTAAGATCGAAGGTGAGGGTGTTTATCAATCAGGTAATATAAATAATATTTATTTACCTACGTGTGAGATCACTTTCTTTTTTTTTAAAAAAAAGAAGAAGCTATCACTAATTTCTTCAATAATATCTAATTTAAATCATCAGTTTCATAATACGAAACAATGCGTTTTATTTGTTAATGTGCTTGAAATTGCTACTTCCATAATTTTGCCACACTGATATTCAATGAGGTTATAAATTAGGACCTGCTGGGAGCTACGAATGTAACCAATAATATTTTTGCAACATGACAATGAAATATGGGCGGAGCCATTTTAGGAAAAGAGTGGTCAAGTGCATATTTTGATGAAAAGTTATATGGTTTATAGACGTTAAATGTTTATTAGCTATTATGAGTGTTATATATTTAATTTTGTACATTCTTCGTATAATTGAGAAAAAATTTACACATCCTTCGTCAAATTTCTGGTTCCGCCATCACACACATATATATGACATACACAACAAAAGTATATCAATAGTGTATATTTTAATCATATTTGAATTTCGATGATTGGTCGAAAACATTCTTTGTACCTCATATTTGAGATAGAGATAAAATTTGCATACATTTTATTCTTTTTACATCTCACTCGCAAGTTTATATTGAATATATCAAATGGTATATTTATGTAATTAACTTTTCCATTACATTTTTTTATTAATCAGGTGGAAACAATCTTTTTAATTATTCTCAGAGGTAGATCATGATTTGATTTGCATGATTATAAGGCGTAAAGTTCAATAGCCTAGTAAACATAAATAAAATTTTGATTAAAAAAATGATACAAAGTATTTAAGTTTTTTCACAAAAGTTAATTGATGTATTATATATATATAGTTATAAAAATTTGTGTACAAAGTTGGTTGATTTGATCTGATTTTATCTTCTATTTATTTTTAATAAAATCAAATCAAATTAAATACTATATTAATAAACTCATCAATTGACATTATTTGACGAATAGAAAATCGCCACATATAGTTTAGCTATAATCATAAACTTTATAATACATGCAAATAATTCGTGGTACAAATTGTGGCTTCAAACACTTGGACAACTATATTATGATAATAATACAATTAATTATTGCCTACATTACTACCAACAAGTTTGTTGCCAGAATTATAGTACTAAAAAAAATATTCCAAAAGCTTAGAAAAAAAAAAAACTTTTTTAATGCACGACCTTCCAATTCTTCATATCCTAGGCACATCATAAAATATAATAATAAATGATTTATGATTGGGTAGGAATAAAAAGAATGTCAGAAATTTAAACACAAATAAATCAACAAATGCAAAGACATGATAACCTAAATGCCAACGTGAGGAGATGTAATCCTCCCTCCCTTTCATTATCTGGATTTTAACTTGACACGAAATTTTAAAAAGTAAAAAGAAAATTTAAATTTTGTTATCTTAAATTAAAAATACGTAGAATATATCAAATGCTCTTTAATATGATGATTTTAAATATGTCACATGGTAAATTTGCATTAAATAGTTATAAAAACAACATCGTGATACCTAGTGAAATCTCATTAGTGGAGTTTGGAGACAGTTGAGCGTACGCAGACCGTAGTGATAACAATACAGTAACAAACCACAAAAATGCGATAACCTAAACACAATCAACAACAAGTGATGGTGGAATAAAACAGTAATATAATTTTATTTTATTTTTTAAAACAGACTAAAAAGGAAAGTAAAGACAGATCGTTACGGAAAAGGGCATTTCATCAACCGTTTTATTTTCCCTCTTTCACAAAGAGTCTTTCTTACCTTATTTTTCTCTCTTCCACTTCTCTGTTTTTTTCCCTCATTCCTCTCTTTAGAGATCAAACAAACAACAACACAAAAAAACACAAAAACACAAGTTTCTTTGATCATATTTCATTGATTATATTCATCTTTTTACTTTCAATGTGCTACGATGGATCATCGGAGAACGTTAACGATGAACTGGGATGGTCTTGGAGACGATCAAGATGACGATGACAACTTCTTTGAGTCTCGTGATCGTCTCTCCACAGCCATCCCCCTTGACTTAGGATCCTCAGGATCAGACGATGATAATGAATACGAGGACAGTCGTCTCTCCTTTGTTTCGACTCTTTCATCAGCCTCCGTCAAGAAATTCCAGGGAATTGAAATTGAAACAGTTTCTGATTCATTTAGCAGCGCGGACTATGGAATGTGGATGGCTGAACCAGGGGATATTAAGGAACGTCGTAAACGCCTCTTACAAGGTATGGGATTGTCAAGCAATAAAGACCTCCTCAAGTTGAAAAGTGCCAAGATTGTAAGAGCTATTTCAAGAAAGGTTGAGAAAATCAAGGACACGAAAACATCTAAGACGAATGATTCTTCTCGTGTAAAAGGATTAAATCAAGAACGTGAGCCTGTAACTATACAACCGATTAAGTTGGTAAGGTCGAGATCAGATGGAGATATACAATATTTTTCTGTAAATACAAAGAAAAGGAAAGAGGATTTAATTGGTGACATTTCTAAACAACGTCTCACAAGGACATTTTCGGGTGTTTTAGCACCGAGTATAGGTACATGTCAATTAACAGGTTCTGTTAGAATGTCGCCAACAAAAAACAGAAGTAGATCGTTGATGCAAAATGGGAGTGATTTGTTATCAAATGGGAATCCTGATGTGGGATTTGCTTCTTTTTTCTTGATAAAGAATTTGGACACCGGAAAGGAGTTTATCGTCAAAGAGAGTAATGAAAACGGAATGTGGAATAAGCTGAGTGATATTCAGACAGGGAAACAACTTACGATGGATGAATTTGAAAAACATGTGGGATATTCACCTGTTGTGAAGGAGCTGATGAGACGAGTAAATGGATCAAGAAGTCACGATGATGAGAGGAAGCTAAACGCGAATTCATATCTTAGTAAGAGTTTTAGGAATAGTAAGAGAAGGGGAGTTGCTCTTTTGAAGAACATAAAAGGAGTAGCACATAGTATGAGTGGAAAAATTATTGATAAAGAACGCGAACAACCTGTACCTGAGGAACAGCAGAAGCCGAATAAGAACTCCTCCAAATGGATTAAAGTCCGTCAGCATGGGAAATCGTGCAAGGAATTCACAGCTTTGCATTTAAGCCAAGAAATCCATGCTCACGAGGGTTCAATATGGACGATAAGATTCAGCTCGGATGCACATTATCTAGCAACAGCAGGAGAAGATACATTGATTCATATATGGGAAGTTCAAGAATGTGAAGTAACCAACGATCTAAACTCTGTTGGTGGTACAATGGGAGGTTCTGCAAGTGCCTCGCCTAATCATCCAACGAGTGGCTCATTCAGTGCCTCCCCTGTTCATCCAATTGCTAGGTCTAATTCAGACCGGCCTCCTCTTCCGGAGACTGGACATATTACATCAGAAAGAAGGAAGAAGGGGAAGGTATCACATAAGAAAAAGGACAACTCAGTTCCGGAGTATGTCAACGTACCAGAAACTGTTTTTGCTCTTTCGGAGAAACCAATATGCACTCTTAAAGGTCATCAAGATGATGTCTTGGACTTGTCTTGGTCAAGATCTCAGGTCAGTTTCCTCCACTTTCATTTCAGTTAACTAGCACAAAACCGCGTTGTTTACTGCAAACAAACCGAATAATATCTACTATCATGTTTTAACTTTTAAACATACATAACATGGAATGTGAAACTTGGATGCAGCAACTGCTGTCATCGTCGATAGACAAGACTGTCAGGCTATGGGATGTTGAAACTCAGAGTTGCTTAAAAATGTTCGCGCACAATGACTATGGTAAGATGCAGCTAGTCAATTTAGACTTAAATATAATGATTCCTTCGCGTTATTTGCTTCTGATGAGCTTATGGTCTGGCAGTAACTTGCATACAGATCAATCCAATGGACGATGACTACTTCATCAGCGGTTCTCTGGATGCAAAGGTTCGGATTTGGAATATACCTGATCGGAAAGTTGTAGATTGGACTGATCTTCATGAAATGGTCACTGCTACTTGCTTTACCCCTGATGGCCAGGTAGATATGTCTATTTTACTTGTATTATATTGGAACATTCACTAGACTAAAGCTTACGCCAAACACGCGCCATAATACTCCAATTTTACATTAACTCCTGCTATTACATACCCTCCCTGCTATACACAACAACATACTCAGTGTAGTCCCACAGGAAATTTCCCGACTCCTTAGAATTCAAGTATACAGATGTACGAGCTTATAGAATAGATCCTGTTCTAGTAAGGTTGACAGTATCAATGAATTCTTCGTTTTTTTTTTTTCCGTTCTTGAAGGGTGCTTTAATAGGCTCACATAAAGGAAGCTGTCGTATGTACAATACTTCTGGTAAGTAATGCATTACATACCATCTTTTATTAAATTGATAATTACCCGCGAAAAACAGTAGCTGATTTCCACTGTGTGTTTATTATTCAGAATGCAAACTGGAACAAAAAGACAATATCGAAATTCAACCTAAGAAGAATTCTCAACTCAAGAAGGTCACTGGTTTACAGGTATTTACCCTCTTCTAGAGCTACTGTGTCGATGTACGATTTCTTTTCTTCAAGATCAATTGAAAGCTGAACACATTTATATCCAGTTTGCTCCATGGAATCCATCAGAAGTGCTTATAACTTCAGCTGATTCTCGTATCAGAATTTTTGACGGATCAGATATGATCTATAAGTTTAGAGGTATTTTCTCTACTATTTACTCTTTTCGAGAGTTCAAAATAACATCCATGTAACAAAATGTTCTATTTTGTGGTGGCATCAGGTTTCCGAAATACAAGTAGCCAAATTGCAGCTTCGTTTAGTTCAGACGGAAAGTATGTCATAAGTGCTAGTGAAGATTCTCATGTGTACATATGGAAGAGAGAAGAACCTAAGAGCCCCAGGGGAAAAGTTAGAACTTCAATCTCAGTTCAAGCTCACGAGCGATTTCAGTGTAAAGATGTTTCAGTTGCCATACCATGGCTAGGTAGTGTAAAGAATGAGGCACCACTTGTAGAGATGCATTCAAAAAGGCATTCGAAACGTTTCCTCCCACCCCAGTATCCTAACGGAGGTTCTCCAACAAAAGAAAACTCGGATGTGGCAAATAGTAAAAGGCATACGCCACCTCTACCTAACAAAAGTAATACATTGGAGAGAGTTCACAGTAGTCAGGAAGAGGAAGACTTAGCTCAAATCTCTCGTGCAGATTTTGGTAATGGTCACGGAGAATCATTTGCATCAGGTTCTTCATCAAATAGGTTTGGTGATTCACCTTCTATATCTGCGTCCAGCAGCTCCCGATCACAATCTTGGTCCTCCTCTTGGTCTCATGATGGTAGTAATAGCCACGGCAGCAATGTTATACAAGCAACAGCATGGGGGATGGTAATTGTGACAGCAAGTTTGGGAGGTGAAATCAGAATTTATCAAAATTTTGGGCTACCACTGAAAGCTGGACGTCAAACGAATCTCTTTAGAGACCTGACATAAATTGTTTGTTAGGAATCAAATCGATAATATTCTGTTCTCGCCTTCACATTTTTCTGTAATACCTAGTTGTTTAAGACTTAGACGAGCTCACGATAAACTGAACAAGGCTGAAGCCATCGGCTTCCAACTGTTGATAAGTAAATGCAGAAACAGGTAAGTTTTTTTTTTTCTTTTTAGTACCATTTACATTAGAAAAGACCAAGTAGAGATCATAGTGTTCAATGTTCCAACAAATTCAGCATTTTAACTAGCATTGTGCAAACCTTTGTTTTCATTACAAGTGTTACAAATATCGAATACATGAGAAATTTCATTGGCACAGTTTACTTTTAGAACATCTCAAGGTGTGTGATGTAGACAGTCTATCCTAATGCAAGTGGTGCTTTCCAGGCACAAACTCGTGACCTATAGATCACACAGAGATAACTTTACCGTCGCTCCCTTCCTGAAACAACAATAACTAGGGATGTTCAAAAGCAATGACGGGATATCAAAGGCGAAAAGCACAAACAAACTCTAAGATCCGTTGTGGCTTTAAGCACATAGGTCAATGCGGAAATAACGTGAGTGTTTTAACAAAGAAAGACAAAACTAGAGAAAAATCACAAGTACGACTTGAAATAAGGTCAAAGAAAAACTTATTTAAATCTCGAAATCTGATAAATGTCACGTAAATTGTTAAAGACGAACCGACACGTATAAGCTATTTTAAATTTGAATTCTGGCACTAGGCGGTAAGGTTCCGACTCACATTTCCAAATCCGCAAAGTTGAGCACAAACTTCTGGAGAAAGTTTTACATCTCTGAAGAATAAAATGGATTCTCCGATCAATTACGCAATCGACGACAAGGATCTAGACGACGCTGCATTATGGGCGGTGATTGATTCCGCCGCCGCTGCCGCCTCCTCCACCACCGCCGTCACTAAGTACAGCAAACCGCTACCTAACAATCACTCTCCAATTAGGCCTTTTCCTAGCTCAAATCCTTCTCCACAATCTAGGCTCGGCAAAACCCCTAGAAACTTCCAAAATCATCACCATAACGGAGAGGTACTAAATCACCGGCCGCAGAAAATGTCCAGGTCAGATTCTAACTGCGTTTCGGGACTGAGCAAGACGAGTCCGAATCCGATGGCGGTAGTTAAGCACGTGCAGAGAGATCCGGCTGTGACGAGTTATTCGTCGCCGGTGACGAGGTCTCCGGCTCCGGTGATGGAGTATGATCAGAGGTATAACAGTCCGATTGTTTCGGAGTGTTCGCTGGTGGCTACAATGAGTCATGGACAGCGTGAGGATAGAGATGGCGTCGTTAGGCATAGCTTGGCTGGTCCATTTCCATCCGTTTCTCTGTTCAAGGAGTATCAAAATGCAGCGATGGCGGTAAATTGATCAATTTTCACTGTACTATGTCATATTTCCAGCATTAGATAGTACGTTTATCAAAAGTTTAGCCAATTTTTTAGATATAAGTGTATCCAAATTGCTTAAGAGCTGCACAGATAGAGTGTTTTGGCATGATAAATGATTCTGTTTGATCTGAAATTTAATATGAATTTGGTATATTACCTGTTGTTATGCGAGCTCAATTTTTTGATTCACATAAAAATTGACAGTCCATATTAGCCTCTTGCTCAATGTAGATGTCAGTTGTAACTTTGCTTTCTGATCTTTGAGCTACTTTAGTGCACTTGAAGAGAAAGCTCTCCAAGTTATTGTGTCTACTCGTTTGTAATCCTCATCTTCACCTATTTTGCATTAAGGGCGCGAGTAAGATGTATGCTATTCGTAGATTTGTAAGGGTCCGTTCCCATTTTCCCACTATTGCTTTCTTGGTGACAGACTTGTCAAAACAACAACAACAACATACCCAGTGAAATCCCACTACGTGGGGTCTGGGGAGGGTAGATTGTACGCAGACCTTACCACTACCTCGTGGAGGTAGAGAGGCTGTTTCCGGAGGACCCTCAGCTCAAGTACATCATGTCACTTGTCTAATTTCCTCATTGAACATTTTGCTTCTTTTGCCATCACAAGAAATGTATCTCTCAATTTTTTAATGGTAATGGAAGTACTTTAGCCTCTTAAACAAACTTGGTACTTGGTAATAACTGAAGGAAAGATGAATCAAGAGAAACTATGGATAATTACAAGGAATTGATGAGGAATCAGAATTTTATGCTTAAATTGAATCAGCAAATCATTGTGCGAAAAATCATTAAATGTCTAGGTATAACTTGACTATCTCTCAAAATCTGAGCAATGTCTGCACCTTTTCGAGAATAACTTGTTACAAGTCCCCTTCAAGATAAATAGAACTACACTGCCTGTCAGTTTTTGTTAACGTGTATGATTATCAGCAATTACAGCTGTTGTTTCGTCATGAAGTTTTTTGTATACATGAATGTGATTTCATCAGGGCTTAAACAATTAAACATTTCACAGATTCTGGAGAAAAGTGACTACACTATGATTTCGGGACATCCCTTCATAAAAAAAAACTGGTATGTTATTAGACTTGGGTTGTTGGTTTCTTCTACTCTCAGTAAAACTATGTGATCGAAATCAATTTTTGTGCAGGTTGGAGGAAGATATCTTTTTACTTCAATCTATCATATGAAATTAAAGACAAGACCATTGAGTTTGATGACAACCGTAATGTCCTGCGTGCTGAATTTATAGTCCGGGCGCATATGCAGTAAGTTCTTTTGGTTCACCAACTATTCCTATTCAAATGTGTTGCTATGCTAGATTTTTTTCCATCTGTCCCTTTCTTTGTTTCATTCATAGGGGTGGTAGGTTCTCAGATGGATGGGGATCATGTGAGCGGCGAGAGAAGAAGTTTCTAAAACCAAATCATGACATTCCCAGCACAGCAGAAACCAGAGCAAAAAATAAAGCATGTCAGGTACATAGATTTCCTTCCATAGGAACCCTGTAAATGATAAGTTACTTTTCCTCGTTTAATTCAATTTATTCGTTCTCACTCTTGCTCACTGCTTATTTTGTTTGTGGAACAAGTTCTTTAATGGTTTTAGAATTTATTGTTGTTGATTTCCTGCAAATGCAGATCGCACTTTACGTGAATTTGTTGTTCTTTGTGGGTAGGGTGTGTTGTTTCTACCATATTAGGTGCATGGATCAGCTAGAGTAATAAAACTTCTTTGATTTTAATGTGATAACCCCAGCACTTTTTCTAGAGTCAGATTATCTCCACTGTCTTGGCTCATTTTCTCTGCAGTTCATCCTAACAAAAAGGGAAATTCCTGCAACGCCTTTATTATTCTGTACAAGCATTATTCAAATATCAAGTTACTGTGTTCCACATTAGTGGAGGAAATGAGCTGTTATCTCCTTATTTTTACCCCTTGAACTAGTTTTTGGGGTTGAATTAGGCTCGAGGTTCATCCTTTTAAAATATGATATAAGAGACTGACCCATTCATATTCTTGGTTCCCATATCATATTGTCCACGCACCATATGTCCAACCTTGGGTGCTGGAGGAAGGGGTTACTATGTGACCCATATTGGTAGAGGTTATGAGTTGTTGTCTCCTTGTAAGGACTTGAGTAATTCTCACCTTATGTGAGCTAGTTTTTGGGATTTTGCTAAGCCCAAAATCTATATATGAGTTTGACAGTGTGAAATCCCACTAAGAAGAAGAATATGGTAGTCTTCTATCAATGTTCTTTTTCGAGAAATCATGCATGCATTTTGCTTATTGAAAGTGCATGGTCCGTACTCCGTGGCATACTAACCTTATCTTTGTTCTTGCCAGTCATCTCTATTTGTACCATTCACTCTCTGCTGTTTGGACAATTTGTTCCTTCCAATAAGAATCAATTCTCCAACTTTTGTAAATTAGTTTGTTAAGCAACTCAATTAGTTTAAAAATTTACAGGACTTGCTTGGAATTGGAGAATATCGACCTGGAATGGGCCAGAGTACTAATGGGTAAAATAATGATACAGTAAGTATTCCATAAGGTACTCTATATCTAAGTCATTTGCAGTTCTATTGACCAAGAGGAGAATTCACAGGCAAAATTGAGATTGGGTTATATTAAAACTCATGGAATCAAGTATAGAAAGAAGTATGTACTGTAGTACACTCCCAGTGTACTTGTAATATCTGTAGTAGTTTACCTAGTAATTTTGAGCAGAGGATCTATTGGAAACAACTCTCTACCCCACTAAGATAGGATAAGGTCTGCGTATTTTCTACTCCCTCATACCTTGCTTGTCGGTTTGCACTGGATATGTTGTTGTTTATTGTCTCCTTGGCATGATACCTACTTTCAATCGTGCAATAATACACCAGGCAGCAGCATGGACTTCCAAATTTTATAGCTATACTTGTCCATGTTTGATTTATATAAAATGACATTTTTATTTGGCATTATATACCATAAATTGACAGTAAGCTTGTCTTCATCAGACCCTATCTTCACCTTTTGACCCAAATTGTCACATTTTTTCTTTTTAGTGGCAATGTGAAAATGGGCAACTGGGGTAGTCTGGTAGAATGGTTTTTTAGATCTGACACACCGACAGTTGCTCTTGTTAAATTAGACGTATATTTCGAGTATTGTGTATATTATATTATTGAGATGGTGACACTCCTATTAATGATCTCCGTTGACATCGCCGTACTTGAAGACTGTGATCTATTTGCCCCATAGTAACTTATTTTAAAAATGACTGTGGGGGTTTGGTCACGAAGTTCTTTTTACTTATTTCTCGGAGTTGAACTCCGACATAAGAATTTAATATCTTAGTTAGTTGACTACGTGAACTTTCACCTTGTTGGTGAGGGCTCGATTCTCCTACCTTATAAACTCCTTCCCTATTTTCTCCTTCCTTTCGGAAAACAAATTAGTGGAATTCAACTTGAAGTTGAATTTTGGGAACTCCAAAACTCACAAAAATTCAAAAACGTCTCTTATTTGTATTTATAGTTCTAATATCATTTTTTACTTTGAAAACAAAAGTACTTTTTTCAAATACTCACTATTTTCATAGTGAAATGCCCTTGAAATGTCTATTGAAGAAGTACAGATCATAGATTTTTCTGCACGAGATGTTAACCTCAAATCAATAATACTTGATATGAATATGTGGATAAATTGTCATCTTGTTAAAAACAAAAATTAGAATATTTTGATATAAATAGCGGGTGTGGATAATTTTTCAATCGATTGCCTATATCTTGGCATTGTAAGAGTTAATTCTTTACTTCTTAACCTTTGCATTTTCTAATTAATTATTTTGTTCTATAATATATGGGCTAAGCTTTTAATGTACAATACTTTTGATAAGCTATTTTTTGGTTTCTTTTAAAACTTTTCATGATTGACAATTATTTTTTTGGACGCTTTACTTTGAACTAATACTATGTAAAAATTCTATTAAATTCTCACTTTAGTAACTGTGTCAACTTTGACCATGTGAGTTTAGCAAATCATAATTAGTCTTAAATTGGGATAAAAAGGACAAATAACAATACCTTGACAGCAAATGTAAAGACTTTTTAGCTATGAATTATGATGACTCTATATCCTTTACTAACGATTGATGGGGTTCAACCAAAAAGCTTTGCAACTATGTATGGTTTTTTTTTTTTTTTTACCAAAAAACCATTCGCACAGAAGTGTTCACCTCCTGTGTGATGGGGGGGCTTTGGCAAGACCCCTACCATATCCATTTCACTACATATATATAAAAATACATGAGTTGGAGGGGGACATCGAGCCTTACCTCCTTTTACATCATAGAATACAAAAAATATCCTAATAGAGATTATGATCAGAAAAGGATCTTAAGTCATTAATCTCCCATGTGATGCACCCAAATAAAACACCTAGAATGTAGCACACGGAAGAAACAAGCGATGAAATGACTTATGGAGGGTCGTAGTGCCAGAAAGAGGCCTTTTTTGGTCTTCTCCTGAAGGAAGGCAAGTGAAGTTTATTCATTCTTAAAAGACCCCTAACCTCGGCCGGAAGTGAACTATGTATGGTTTATCATATAAATAAAAGCAATCAAGATGTGACCTAATAATTAACGAAATTGACACAAATAATGAAGATTAGAGTTTAAATTAAATGATTTTTTCTATATATTTTAAGTTTTAGCAAATAAAATTAATTGACAATTATGCTAGGAAGGAGATAATAAGCACTTGATGAGAGAATCCAAACTCGTAAATAAAAACCTACATCCACCCATGTTAATAAAATAATTGAGGTGTACGAAAAATCACAAATAATAGATATTTAGAAGGGAAAAAAATTAAGTTACACATAAGGTAATCCGTTACAAAAATAAAATAAAAAAATAAAGGGGTAACTACATTGTACTAACCATGGCCCTCGTACCCAAGAGACAGTCATAGACCAATCTCTTCTTTTATTCTTTTTCTTTTCGGTAGAGGTGTACAAAACCGAATCAAAACGCAAATCGAGAAAAAAAATTCGATTAGTGATTGATTTGACTTGGTTTGGTATTGAAAAAAAATTGACTATATTTGGGTTGGTTTGGTTTTAACTAAAAAAAAACAACCCGAGATCATATATATAATTTTAAAATTTTATTTTATACATAAAAATATTTACGTTGATATAATTTTTAAATATTTCTTATACTTTTTCATAGTTTTTATCTTTTAATATATTATTTCAAGTTTGAAACTTAGAATTCTGAATGGTTCAATAAAAATTATAGTCAACAGATATTGGTAATTATAATAAAGCTTAAATAAAAATCAAATTAATACTAATGCAAAAAGAAAATCAATTCAACACTAAGAATGATAATAATATTGAATATTTGTTCTTTGGTTTTATATTGGTTTAGACAATTCAAATACATAATCTAATTTTAATTTCCTTTAATATTTAGTCATGTAATTAATACTTACTAAACTTATTTTAGCATGATTTAGTACTTTTAAATTATGATCATTTTCATTATGACTTGTTAATTTGCAATATTTGTTTTACGCGATTTCATTATTATTATTATTTTTTTGTTGGATATTTTAGTGTCATTACTCATATCATATTTTGTGTTATTTTCTTAAGAAACACCTTAGATAGTTGTATTTTGGTAGGACTAAAGAAATATTTGAAGTACAAGTAAATTATATGTTTGTATGAATACTTTACCGGAAAAAACCCTAGGTTGAAAAACTCGAGTTTTATTGATTTGGTTTGGTTTATAGATTTAAAAATCCGACACAAATGGTTTGGTTTGATATTTGAAAAACCTAAACCAACCCGGTCATGTACACCCCTACTTTCCGGTGTCCGAAAATTACATTGAAGTCCTAACTAAATTCAAATCTCACCCATTTAACGATAACGCTCCCCACAAGATTTTTCTTCATATCCAGGACTTGAACTATGGATTTCTAATTGAGGGTGTGCAGTCCCACCAACCAAACTTACTTTTCTTTGGAAGATGCTATTATTATTAGTTCTCAGTGCCACCACATTCTTGTATAAATACTTTTCTTTTCTATCTTTTGTTGTTCAGAGAAAGAAAGGATATAAACTAAACTTATGAAGTTGACAATTAATTCTTTTTCACTCTCATTATCCCCCCTAATTTTTAGTTAATCTTTAAATCCATCAATCAATCAATCTCTCTTCAAATCAACAATCAAGGAAATCCATGGCTCAACAGGTATACTCCTTTGTCCTTAATTTTTTTTCTTCAATTTTTGTCCATTACATGAGGGGGAAAAGAGAGAATGAGAAGGAAACCAATATTGTGAGAATCGAACTGACACCTATTATATAATGATTCTCATCGATACTACTAGACTGTAAGTTCGTAATAGTCACTCCTCTTTTGTCCTTGATCTTTTCCTATTACATTAGGAGGGGAAAGAGGGCAATGAGAATCGAACTGGCATCTACTATACAATGATTCTCATTAACACTACTAGACTGTAAGTTCGTAATAGTCACTCTTTTGTCTTTGATCTTTTCCTATTACATTAGGAGGGAAAAGAGGGAATGAGAATCGAACTTACATTTATTGTATAATGATTCTCATGAATATTACTAGACGTAAACCGATATTATCAGAATCGAACTAACACCTAGTATATAAATGACTTTTACTGATACTACTAGACTATAAGTTGATCTTCTTTTTCCCCTCACTAACATCAAAATGAAATTTCTTTAACATATTTCTTTTGGAAGATTTTTTTTATTGATTTTAAGTTTGGATGATATGATATTGCAGGATGAAGGTTGGCCACTTGGGCTTCAACCATTAAATGTGAGAAATCATGGATTTAATGGATCAATTTCATTCAATACTTTGATGACTGTTTCTCCCTCTTCTTCCTCTCATTCTTCTTCTGATCTTGATACTGAGGTTTGTACACTTTTTTTTTTCTTAAAGAATATTCTTTATATCCAAAATTAGAAATAACTAAAAATGAACAAATATTGGCCTTAAAAACACTCTAATTGGTTGAGAATACATCAATAAGGAATCAAAGTGATATGTGAAAGTTGTCTTTCCTTTTAGATTTAATCATCTGATATCTGAAATTTATTACGCTAAAACACTTTATATTAGTATTTTGGTTTTATTTTTTACTCGAATTTAACATTTTTAATTAAATGTGAAGGAATCTAATTATATTTTATGACACCCATTTATGGTGTTATTTATTTTTTAATAAAAGTATGCATGATTTTTTATTTTTTTCATGTTATATTCACAATGGGGTCAATGTCTTATCAAAAAGTGGAAGGGGAGATATAGCACTTTACTCTTTACACATGGCCTTACAATTATTATGTTTCTCAAGTCTTTCAGAGAGAAAAAAGAGTAATATTTTACACAAAATATCCTCTTTCTTTTTTCTCTATATATATTAGAGTATAATATGTTGACAATATGTTAAATAAGTCAGTAAATTTTACTTAAATATTCAAATAATAATCCATTTCAATGAAATATTTTTATTAAACACTTTGGATTTATATTTTAGAAAAGTTTATGCATGTGTTCTCTAACGTAGATATGCATTTTTCTTTAGTTATACATATCAATTAGAATAGGCCTGAGATTCTACAGATTATTGAGACTAATATGAATAATTACAAGAAGCTAAGTGATATATTTTAAGTGGTTTACTCTTTTATATAATGACTGATTGAGAGCACATGCAAAAAAAATTCCAAAATTTTGAATAAAAATAAAAACATACCATGATTCAAGTACCTAAATAAACTTTACTGATAAATTTAAAGGTTGGTCAATATATTCAACTTTTCTCTTTTATGATTTTTCTTTTAGAGATGTATATTTTTTTTATACGTAAGAGATCTGAAAAAGTTATTTTCTTATTCGTTGGTTGTTGCAGTCTACTACTACAACATTCTTTCATGACAAAAGCATAACTTTAGGAAGCCTCATTGGAATTACAAGTATTCTAGAGTTTTCAAGAAGATCAACAAGAAGAAGAACAATTGTGGAAACCAAAATAAGGGACAAGAACAACAAGAAGAATATTAATATTAATATTAATATTAACAAATCAAAAACTTGGTTATTTTCACTTTGCTCAAAATTAACTACTGATGCAGTTAACATTAACAACATTAATCCTTCTCCATCTTTAGGCCATTTTCTTGAAGAAGAGAGAAAAGCAGCTGCTAATAATAATAATAATTATGGAGTTGATGATTTTAATCAATTATTAGATCATGATCATTCAAATGTGAACAATAATTCATTGTTCATTAGTGGCCAAATTGCTCCTCCTCATGATAATGATGATGAGTCAAAAAAAGGGCTATTTGAGCAAAATGATCAAAATGGTAATCATGGAAGTCCTTTAATTTTCTCATGTTTATGTGGACATTTAGTTCATTGATTGATTTTTAATTGTTGTGTAATTTTATTATTATCATATTTTTGTTGTCTTCTTGGGATGGAAAATTAAATTTGGTTTAATTTAAGGTGGGGGTTGTGTGGATTGGAATCTTGATTCTTGAGCATTTGTTATTGTCATTGGAATAGTAGTAAATCAATTTTCATTCAACATCTTAGATTCTTAATTACATTACTTTGTTTTTAGCTTTAATACAAGCTAATTCAGAATTTTAAATTTATGATTTTTATAATAATTTCTAATTAATATTTTCTTTATTTCAAAATAAGTGAATTATTGAGGTATTGCATATTCTTTAAGAAAAGAATATCAAGACATTAATTAGATATTATTTTTTATTGTTATCCTTATTAATTAGGAAATTCAATTAAAAGGTAAAAATAGAAGAAAATTTTAACAATCTATTATGAAAAAGTTTATAAGCTTGTTACAATTTTTTTGGAGTTTCTCATAATTCAAAATATTCTGAAAAAACTCAGTCCTATTGGATTCCAGACCACTTCAAATTAATCAAGGCAATACTATATACTTAATTCAAAAAATTACTAAAAGACAAGTAAATTCAAAACATTTTAGCGTTGTCATTAAATTTTATTTAGACACTCGAATTATTTTTATTAGATACAGGACATTTGCACGAATGCCCCTATTTAAGGGTGATCTCTTAATTTTACCCTTCAAATTTATGATCTTTAATTTTCGCTCTTTTAACACTTTAAATAATGAAAAAGGTGAATGGAAATAACCCTGACATCAGGGGATAAAAATCACAAAAGTAAAAGTTTATATTTTCATATCATGATATATCACAAGGTATGCCGCTTAATGTCTACAAAACTTAGATCCTTACAGACATAAGTTCAATTCATAACCCACAAGTTATACCTTACAAGGCATAAGTTCAACTTCGGAGCATAATGCTTTTACAAGTTTATTACCCACAAGTTATATCTTACAAAGTATAACTTAATTCTTACACAATTTATGCGAATAGAGATATAAATTTAGTTTCAAAAACGATAAAGTTATGTCTTCAAAAAAATAACTTATTCCTACAAAAAAAAATTGTCGACAAATCAAAAGTTCTCTAAACTTATGTCTTGAGAATTAGATACTACTCCCTCCGTCCCTTTTTAGTTGTCCACTTTAGAAATGGCACACAGATTAAGGCAACAATGATTAGCACAGTGAAGTTACAATTTTACCCTTATGACAACTTTTCACTTCAAAATTACAACCACTTATTTGAATTCAAGTGAAATAAATTGGAGGGAAACAACATACACTTTTATAATTTTCAAGAAGTGTAAATAAGGGTATAATAGGAAAAAATTTGTTGTCCTTTCTTGATTTGTCAAAATGGACAACTAAATAGGGACAACTAAAAAAGGAAATATGGACAAGTAAATAGGGACGGAGGGAGTATATACAAAGTAGCCTGACAAAGCAAAAGTTCTCTAATCATATGTCTTGTCATAGTTAAAGGTATTTTGTCCCACAAATTTTCATGAATGAGTAATATGAGGAAAATTGGAAGGACATTCTATTTAATGGCAAACATTACATATCACTCCGAGATAGGGGCAATCCGTAAAAAAGAAAACTTGATTAGATATAATTATGAAAAAAAAATTTGTACAACCGCATAAAATATTTCACATCATATAACTATATACATCAATCTTAATTGGAACATGCCTAAAGTTTACGATTTATTAATGCTAATGTATATCATTAAAAGAAGTGTTGTGATTAATTTATCTACGTAAAAGCACTTCAAAACATGTTTAAAAGTGTTTTCAAAATCTTTATAGAAAGTGTCAAATTATTATATGTACTCTTTTTTGTCAATTTTATTTGTCGTCCTTACTAAAAAGTGAAATTTCAAGCTTCCCCGCTGAACAAAAAGGGATGGCATAAACAACTAGAGGCATTTGTTTCATAGATCCAACAAGTCCAATAACATTGTCTCAAAGATGGAATCACTACAAAAATTCTTCAATCAACTGCCCATAGGCAGCCAGCATCATAATCATACCCCTTCAATTTGTAAAGGGGTATAGTTGAGCAACTATTGGAACAGCTTAAAAGTACCCCCCCCCCCCCAACCCCCCCCCCCAAATAGATATATAGATATACAATATATAAGGTATAACATGCCTCCTCGCTAGCTCGATTTAGACTGTGATTAGTCTAAATCTATGATTGAGCAAAGGATGTTCAAGATTTAATATATTTCACAGAGAATAGACGAACAGTTACTATCATCTTAAGGCTTAGCAAACGCTTCAATGCACTCAGCACTGATTTTGCCTGAATGGCGACAACCCAACTTCCCAAATGAGGTTAAGGGTGACAAAACTTTCAAGCTGGTGCTACTACTGCTGCTGCTGCTGCCGCCTTCAGTAAGACTGAAAGACGTTCTTGATTTTCTTGGCCTTGAGGGACTCGATACCTCTTCATAAGTGTCGATTTTATTCTGGACAACGACTAAATGAGTGATATCACTCCGGCAAAAGGGGCATAAAGGAACCTTCTCACTATTGCTAGCTGGATTGGGTTTATTGTGGCAACATAAGGCCAGAGTGCAATGAGCACACATCTGATGACCGCACTTTTGTATCTCAATCGTGCATGCCTGCTCAAAGCAGATGCAACATAGCTCAAGATCACTGCCCTGTTTGGAAATGAAAAACATGGAGTTGTTAAAAGAAGATTCATAGTAAAGGTCAAATACAAATGCAGTACTTAAGCTCCATTATGTTCGTCTATAATTAATCCAGATGAGTTCTTGATGCAAGATAAATGACTATCACCGATTCAAATGTGAAGCAAATTTATGACTCCGTGATTAGGGTCATACTGCCAAGGGGTGTGATGTAGGCAGCTTACTCTAAGCATAAGTGATAGATTTCATGGCTTAAACTCATGACCTGTAGGTCACACGGACTTTACCATCGCTCCAAAGCTCCCCCTTCCGAGTGCCTACACATTCTAATAAGATATCTCCCTACCAGCTTTGTAAGTTCTCCAGAGGCAAGTTATATCACTATAGGAAGGATTTGTAGTAATTTCTACTAATATCACTCAACCCCACATGTGGGATTACACTGGATATGTATGTTGATGTTGTTTGTATCACTCAACCACACCAGAAACGATTTGTGTTGATATTCAAGGGAAATTACAGCGACAAATCTGACGTAGAATTGCAGGAGAACACTGAAAGAAAGAACATTTGTCCTAGCCTTTCCTTTTATATAACTAACTCCTATAACAACATCACCCCACTTCCCACTACATAATCACGCAACTTTTGACGGCCTTTGTCTTGCTCGTTTTCCCCTTCCAATATTACCCTCCATAGCCTCCTTGGTGGACTCCACATCAGCTCCTAACTCGTTCATCCCATCAGCATGTTCATTTTCTGATTCTTGGTTCACAATATCAGTATGTTGTGAACTAAGAATCAGAATATGTACCTACTGACAAGTTGGTTGCGGATGTGGAGTCCATGAAGGACAACAGGATTGCATATAAGCAACAAATTTACAACCCTATACGTAAAACCATTTATTTATTCTCAAATGAAAGCTCTTTCATTGTACCTGGGAAAAATGCTACTCATATCAACAATCTGCTGAACATATCAAAATATTTGACAAGCCCAGACAAACAATTGCAGCCGCCGATGCAGAATAGTTATTAAAAAAAATTATTGGGAATGAGACTCGTTACCTCAAAGTCATCACTCTCAAGGCCAGAATCACAATGCGAAAGTGATATTTGTGAGACAGCTGTTTTTTCCAATATCAACTTCTCTCTATCTTTGTTGGCCTCGATCAGAGCATTTTCTAGTAAAGCTTTTGCCTCGGCGTCAAGCTCAGTAATGAACTTCAAAGGCGATGGCCATGTCAAAGGCTCCGGAGATGATGGATTCAAAAGAGCAGCACATGCTTCATGCTTGTTCTTCAAAGCAACTATGTATGGAATTCGCCTGTACACATTCCATTTACAGCCGATCAGTTTCACATCAAAAGACGGATTACTTGCAAAGAACTGAATAATACACAAAAAGAACTGGAAGGATATGGAAAATGACAGTTAAGGGAAGGGTTAAAGAAGCTATGAGCTCACCCAGAAGAATCTCTATAAAGTCGATCTGCACCCCAAGCAAGTAACTCACGTACACAGTCCAAAGAACCTTCTCGAGCTGCTAAATGCAGTGGAGTACTTCCTGGACGGCTGCAAAATCTTTAATGTCAATTAACCTTCAACATACAGTAGTATTTAAGTAAAAGCAACTCATGGAGAGTTTTAATACCCATAGCCACCACTAGAAGCACAGACAAGAGCCTCATTGCTTAGAAGAATCCGGACACATGCTGGTCTACCATGACGGGCTGCTAAATGCAATGGGGCTGCACCACTTCCATCTCTTATGTTCACGAATCTCGCAAATCCCCTGCACTCGAATTAACATATTGCAATTCATTAATAAAATAGCGCAATGCACCTGATGCTCAAATAGGGGACTTTGACAAGTAAGACTGAAAAAAAATCCTGGCTTTAAAAGTAAATCTCACTAAACTATAGTTGTACACTTGACACGAAAAGCAAAGGAGAGCAGAGTCGAAGGAACTAGAAATTTACCAAGATTGAGCAACAGGAGCTGAATGAGCGGATGCAAGGATAGATTGTAGGCAGTCAGAGTGGCCATGGTAAGCAGCATAATGCAGACAAGTTCTTCCATGTAGTGAATCAAACATTAAAATCTAATAACATACGAAGAATTACCAATTAACAACCCATCTCAATCAGTCAAAGAAACTATCACAAACGAAATTCACATACATTAGCACCTAGCTGAATTAGCCTCTCCACGCAGGACACATTTCCATGCATAGCAGCTAACATTAATGGAGTCTGAAGCAAGTCACAGTCACACAAATCAAAACAGCAAAAAAAAAAAAAAACACATTTCAATGATTATCATTCCAAAATGCTACAAAGT